GGCGTGGGCGTGGGCGTGGGCGTGGGCGTGGGCGTGGGCGTGGGCGTGGGCGTGGACTTTCAGTGGCGCGTGTGCGGTGTGCGCTGACGCGTGTCGTTTCATTGTTAGTGAACCGCAACTACGTGTTTGCGGCGGAGACGAGCCAGGAGAAGGACAACTGGATCGCCGTGATCAACGCGCTCAAGCAGAAGATGATGGATCTCCTTCTCAAGAACACCCTGGCCGAACGCCAGACCTCCATCCAATACGCCCTCCAGGTTCAACCCCTTCTTTCATTTTTTTTTTTTTTATTAATTACCACTAAAACTAATTTTATTGTTTCTTTTGTTATTTTTTTTCCAATTTTCTTCTATTTATTTTTTTAAAACCCAGAACAACGAAGCCGGAGAGATCGAAGCGGCCGTGGAGGGTGGGAAGTCGGAGATGCGACGCCTCCTCAATATCGAAGGCAACGACCAGTGCGCTGACTGCGGCGCCACCAGTACTGCCCCCGCGCTTTGTTTTGGTGGCCATCAGCGAAGTGGTTTCTGACGACACGCACCATCGCACACGCACACGACAACCAGATCCTGAATGGGCGTCGCTGTCGCTGGGCGTCTTCATTTGTATCGAGTGCAGCGGCGTGCATCGGGGCATGCATCTCAACGGGGCCCCGTCGAAGATCCGATCGCTCACGCTCGACATGTGGGACGACGCCATGATCCGGGTACCCCTGTCCTGTCGGCCTCAATGATTATATTTGGCTTTATTATTAACTTTTTGATTATAATTCATTCTTTTCATTATTACTTCTTTTCATAATTATTATTAATGATTTTTACTCAATCATTAATAATCAAAAACCAACACAGTTTATGGAGAATATGGGCAATCGCAAGGCAAATACGGAGTGGGCCGCCCAGTTGCCCGAGGACCACAAGCCACCAGCCACATTGTGCGTTCCTCTCTCCGACACGCACGCGCATTCACACACGACACACACACGACACACTCACCACACAAATCTCATCATTTATTGGGCACGTGCAGTAAGGAACGAGTAGAGTTCATCAGGAGCAAGTACGAACTCAAGAGATACTCCGCGTTGAGCGCACAAAACAAATAAAAAGTTGTTTTTTGAAACCACCAGACCAAAATGAATGGGAAAAGGAATGTTCCGCTGCCGGGAATCGAACCCGGGGCGCATGGGTGAGAACCATAAATGTTACCGACTACACCACAGCGGATTGGTTGTTGATTTGCTGGGTCTTGTTGAGATGCAACATGCCATGTGGAATAAGTTCCCCCCGGCAACACACATGAGGTAGTTGAGAATTTAACTATTGTATACAGTAAAACCCCTTGTTTGGTTTGTTGCATTGCAAACATGCCCCTTTAAAAAACAATGACGAATCCTTACCATGTCTCTTCGTCTTCGAATTGCAACTTTTGCTTGGCCCAAACGCGCCGAATGCCGTCCTGCTCCTCGTCCAGTTGCGGGCGCAGCTCGCATTCCTCGCACGGGTCCGCCGGTGGTGCGATGCCCCACAGCTTTTGCATGGCTTCGTCGTAGTTGCGCGACACCTTCCGCCCTCCCGGCCCTGCCGTGTGTGCCGTGTGTGCCGTGTGTCGTGTCGTGTGCGTGTGCGTGTGCGTGTCGTGTCATGCTGTGTGTCGTGAGAAACAATCAAGAAGAGGTGTTCTACCTGGGACCTCGCCCCACATGCGATCCATGACGCTCTTCCACTTGTTCTCCAGCTGTCGGCGCAGTTTGTCGCTGTAGTCCAACATTCCTCGGCTTATTTCCTGTGGTGGGTGCCACTCTATGAGCATTCCAGACACATTCCAGAGAGCAAATACTAATAACAAAACAACAAAAATAATAAAGCACGCACGTGGAAGTCGGCGGCGTCGAGCTTCTGGGCCAGGTCCTCCCACGAATCGAACAGGATGACGTGCGGCCAGTGGTAGAAGTCCGAGAACGAGAGCCACTGCCGCACCACCGTCGCGTTCAACTCGTTGTTGGGGTCCCAGTCCGCCAAGCTCTGCGTTCCCCAATGCGCGTGCGGTCGTGTGTGCGTGTGCGTGCGTGTGCGGTCGTGTGCGATCAATTCATGAATTGTTGGCCGGCAGTCGGGGCACACCGCCAATTGAACGTGTAATGGGTGGTACCTCGGCCTCTGAGTGACGCGGGTACCTCGACGCGCCGAGGTAGCGATGATGGATCGCGCCGTCCCACGTGCGCTCACGCACTTTTGACGTCAATAAGAACGCAATGTTAGCTAAGACCGTGTGCGGTGTGTGCCGTGGTGCGCGTTGTATATGCGTGTGCGGTGTGTGCGGTGTGTGCGATGTGTGCGGTGTGTGCGGTGTGCGTACCACAGCGCCAGTCCATGTGCCACGAGGTGAGGAGGTCGAGCGAGGGCACGATCATCGGGATGCCCATACGGTAGTACTCGAAGATGGACATTATCGAGCACTGGTAGGGGATCACCACCACCCCCTTGAACGCTGTCAAGTCCGCGTACTTGTAGCTGCCCAGCGCTGCCTGCATGGTGAGCGTGAACTTGCGCTGCGTCCTCGATGAATCCCAAATCGCTGCCGTGTGTGTCGTGCGTGTCGTGTGCCGTGCGTGGTGCCGTGCGTGCGGTGGTGCGTGTGCGACGTGAGAATTGGAAGTGCAGTTGATCAGTAAGACAGACCCGACTTACCTCTGAGCGGGTTGAAGAGGCTCTCGGTGAAGGTGATTCCTCGACTGAGCCCCACCAGCAGCCTGTTCTCCGCCGCGGGCTTGTACGTGGCGCTCACATAGCCGCAATACGACGGTATGAGCTCCACATTTTGTATTCCTGTTGTTCATAACGCGTAGTGCGTGTGCGTGTGCGGTAGTGCGTGTGCGTGTGCGGTAGTGCGTGGAGCGTGTGCGTGTGCGGTAGTGCGTGTGCGTGTGCGTGGAGCGTGTTAATCGAGCAGCGACTGGAGAGGAAGAGGAAGAGGTGGAACCGGTGAAGAAGCGGATGTAGTGGACGTCGTAGAGGTTGTTGGCCGCGATCACGTTGCGCGGATCGGCTGCGAGGCGTCGCAGATTGTTCACGAACCCGTCCATGCAAACCGCCTCGTCACTATGCGCCACACAGCGCACACACCACGACACACCACGACACACGGCACACACGGCACACACCACGCACCAAAAAATAAACACATGGCCACAGGCAGGCATTGGTGCGTAGTACTGCAAACACGTACGCCCGGGCGAGATCGAAGCGCGTGGTGGCGATCACCATGATCGACTTGTTGAACGCCATGTAGGCCTCACAAATACCTGAAGATGAAATATATATATATTATATATTAATATATATATCAACATGTATGGCCGAAAGGAATGAATGGGCGGCTAAGCTTGTACCTGCGGGGTGGGTGCAGAGGAACGCGTCGACGTTTTCCTGGACCCACTCGCGGTACTCGTAGAAGAATCGGCGCTTGGTGATGCCAGGGCACGCGCCCAGCGTGTAGATATCCCGGTGGTCGATAATCTGGCCCAATCAAGCGATGAGCACGCACCACACACACACACACACACATAGAGAGAGACCTTGAGGCCCTGGTTCACCGCGCAGTTGCCCACGCGCGCGCAGTGTCCCTCGTGGAAGTTGAGATCGGTCACCTTGATGCCGAACCGCGGCACCAGGAAGTCCTTGATGTCCGAGATCGGACCCACGTGCGTCGACATCGAGTAAAGCCCGAACCCTGCGACCGCCTCCACGTTCAGATCGCAACACCGCACACACGACACGCGACACACGCGACACACACGACACACACGACACACGCACACACGACACACGACACACGACACACGACACACGACACTCAGACTTGCCTCGGTAGACGGACATGTGCTCGTCGGACAGCTGTTGATCGTTGACGTGCGTGAACTCGTAGGCGGCCAACTCTTGCGCCAGTGTCCCCACCGCCGGTGGTCGCAGCACCGGGCCAGAACCTCTGGACTGGCGTGTCGTGTCGTGCTGTATGGTCGTGTGTCGTGTTGTCAGAATGTCAATGTCGTGTGTCGCTTCGTGTCGTGTCGTGCCATGCCGTGTGTCATGCACGTACAGGGGCGGGAAGCTGCGGGTCGCCAGCGGGAGGTGGAGCACGAATGACGCTGAGGTACATGTAGATGTTGGCCGTCACCAGAACAATCAAGAACAGGAGTCCGGCAATCGCCCTGGGCGCCAACATAAGAAGATGACGATGACCGACAACATGAGATTCCAACATTCAATCTATGTAATTGAAAACAAAACAAATAAATCAGAACAAATAAATCGAACTGCACCATAACGACCACCGGCGGCTCGCGCTTCGCGCACGAAGCCCGGCGCGTCGCATCGATACGAGTAACGAGCTTGTTCTCCACGGAGAAGGTTTTTAAATGCTTCAAAATGGTTAATTATTTCATATTTTCTGAATTTTTGTCAATTAAACTGAAGTATTCCAAGCAGCCGGACAGCCACGACCACCAGGACTCCTCCAGGCCAGATACGGCGCCCTGCCCGTACAGGTCGTGCGCCACCATTTCTACTGGCGCTGCACACCTGAACCTGGCTCCCCCAGAAACCAACACTGATGCAGGCAGGAAGCTCAGCTTGTAGCATTGCCGTCACCATCGCCAAGGGCGCACCTTATCGTGGCCAGATGCACCCAGTCGACAGTGACGCCTGGTTGGCGGCGCATACCTGAGCCAAGGTATCCGGCGCCTAGCCCCGCTTTGAGGGTCCTTTCCGTTGACCCGCATCAAGAAGGACATGGCCCGGTAGTGGGCCGAGCATGATCCTGAGGCTTAAGAAGAAGGCCCACGAGAGACGACACGCGATACGCACAGTTTAAATTGTTGCGATTGGTCCGCAACAATGCACTGGGGCACTCGCAACAATCCACAAGTTTCCTTAAACTGCACCAATGGCAGTATATGTTCGACATGCAAAACCCCGTTTTCCCCCTTCCCAACGCAACATTCAACCATCACCGCCATCACCACCAACACCATGAGCAAGCTTCTCGTAGTCTTTGGCGCCACTGGCCAACAGGGCGGTTCCATCGTGGACCACGTCATCAACGACCCCGAGCTGTCAAAGCAATACCGGGTCCGGGGGGTCACGCGCGACCCCTCCAAGCCCGCGGGCCAAGCGCTGCGTCAGAAGGGCGTCGAGGTGGTCCAGGGCGACCTGGACC